AACACAGGGCAAGCCCTCCAAGCCTGGAGGCACACCAATCCTGAGCCTGTGCATACCCCTAGACACTCCCCTTACGCTGCCCTATAAAGATCTGTGCGCAGCGGCTTCAAACTGTCTTTTCTAGCCATCCGCCATGGCGGGGGGGGGAAAGACCCGAGCTAATATGGGGTTAGCTCGTTAAACTACAATAAAGCCTCATGAAGTTTGCAGCAAGCTCTCGAATCCGCCTGGTGATTGGGGTGACCGCGAACATGGCCTGGGACCCCGGATACTTGAGTTTTCGGGAGTCTAACAGTGTTAAATATTAAATAAGACTAAATGACAAAAATTTGCTATGAAGACTCCAAATATTGAAGTCCAAAGCCAAATTATCTTTGTCTATTCATTTTTCTACCACTATGAAAACTTCATGAAATTGTTCCATGGCATTTGAGAAACCTAAATCTGTCTTTCTGGGCCATTGTCACTCATATTTGCTACGGAATAAATGATATTTACTTTGGGGGACAGAGCTGTGCTTTTGTGCCAACACCTGCCTATTAATCATGAATTTCCCAGCTTCCAGAACTATAATAAATAAATCTTTATTATCTACTCCATGATACTCTATTAGAACCACCCATAAAATCTTGAACATAAACCTAGAAGTAAGAATGATAAAATGTTTTATTGTCTTTGAAAGCTATAGTGGATAGTACAGTCAGAAAAAAAGCAATGAAACAAAATTTGAAATGTTTATTTATTTTTTTAAACTCAGTTTGTTGATAGTCATAAAGACTTTCTTGAGTTACAAATGCCAGAAATTAATTAGGTGAACTTAACATTAAAATAAATAATGAAATGAGAATGTTGTGTAATAAGAAGACACAGAGCTCTTGTAAAATTCAACAGCATAAATGGAGTGGTAGCTTGGAAAGGGACTAGATTATTGTTCACAGTTTTTCACTAATCTCCCTTGACCTTTTTTAATTTGTATGCTTCTTCTACAGCCTACATTATTAAAATAAAATAACCTCACATCTCAATGGTTTAGATTTTACAGAAAGGAGAATGACTGTCTTAATTCACATTTCCATTCTTATTTCAGCAACTATGGCTAGAGAATAGAAAATAATTTAGAAAGAGTAAGGCTCTGAGGGCCAGTTCTCATTGATTAGCACACGAGGATAAAGATAATTTGTTAGAAGCTAAGTGGACAACACTCAAATACATTTAAATTTCATTTCATATTCAAGAAAGTAGCATGATCAAATCTATTATTAAAAAAAGATAACTCCAAGTAGCAATATGGAAAATCAGAAAAGAGATTTAAAAGGTTTTGTGGGGGTCCAACTGAGAAGCCATTAAGAAAAATTCAAGCAAAAACAGTATGATTCTGTATTAGGATTCTGATAGCATCAATGGTGGAAAGGCATGGACAGATAACAAAGCCATTGCAGAGACTGTAAGGGCGGTACCTGGGTATACATGGCAAGGAAGCTGGATAGGAAACAATAGCTCAAAGATGCCTATTTGATCAAGAGGACACATAGAGCTGCTGATAATTAGGGCATGGAAAATGAGAAAAGAAAACACAAGGTCTGAGGAGGACAATCTCAGATGTAGTGGACTATGATGTACCCAATGACAGGTATGAAATTCAAGGAAAGTTGATCAGTCAATATTTGAGAAGCACATAGAATAAACATAGTTGGAGCTTGAGGCTTGCCCTCAGGAATATCATTCAAAGGAAGAAAGGAAGGTAATTCTCTGGGAAAATTCTGGCAGAAAAGACGAATCTACAAGACGGACTGAACAAAGAGCAGATAGAGATAAATGGAGAAAGGGATAAGTGGAGATAGCTGTGTCTAGGAAGGGAACATAATCTATGAGGGAGAGAAGGTGAACGATGCCTAATTCTTTCTTGAAGGAAAATAGGATATAAGCTGGAAAGAGGCTGAAACATTTGACAAGCACATCATTGCTGACCTTTCTCAGAGCAGTGCAAGTGGAGTGCTGGGGTTGCAAGTCAGATCATACTGGGAGTTGAGAAGTGACTGGGAGAGGAGGCAAAAACAGGGCCTAGGGCAGGCTCTTTGCAAAAGTTATGCTCTAGCTAGAGTACCTATCAGTCAGTTTATAATGATTTATTCTTTTCAAATCTATTCCTATCACTGTATTGGTAGGAATAAAGTAAACCATTGGCAAAGCTCCAATTAAACCATGGACCACTGACTCACAAATTTCCAGGGGTCACCTTATGTTTAGGAAAATTAATTTTGTGGCCTTTTACGAAAGTATATTCAATGGTACAATACCTCACCTTTATTTCCGCTGGTTTCTGTGGCATTGTCTCTAACGATTTCTCCACTGTCATTCCTTTTTACTCCGTCTCAGCTCTCAGACACATGACCTTTTTTGCCAATCTCATTAAAGCCTGTGCTCATTTTCTCAACTTTCCTATCAATCGAGGTAATTGCTTCCTACACGAAACTCAGTCTTCCATTAACTAGCTCATTAACTTGAGTTAAAAGTTCAGAAACTTTTTCTAACGGAAATCACTGCAGTGTCCTGAAAAGAAACTATTTTGGAAGATGCAAGAATGTAAGCTAAGAATTTTTAAATTGGATTTGCTGATGTACAAACCCAACGGAAGCCCATCTAGTTCCTATTTGGACCCCCCTTTTCCTCTCTCACTGCAAGGGCACATGTCCTACACCCCAAGTCATAACACTGGCTGGTAAGCATAGGCTTTTATTGAGGACAAGATCAGCAAACGTACTGGTCACAGCTCTACCTGTGATAATGTGCCTTTGAAAAGGAATACTATTAAAGTGCCTACAGTTCTCTTTTCAGATGAAGACAATTAGCTTAATAAACATTTCCATTCATTGTCCATGCTAACTTGTTTATCTTTCAACTTTATAGGCTGATCTCATGGATTTTAAACATCCTTAAAAGTTTCTGTTTCTTTTGTTAAGTGAAAAATTCCAAGGACCATGAAGTTTTGAGAAAAAAATTAAAGATGTAATAAAAGAAATGTTCTTAATCCATTATGCTTAACACTTAAATTCGTTTTTGGTAACCCACATAAACATTTCCTCTAATGGTTTTTTTAAGCATCTATTTAAGTTCAAGATGTGTTTCACTTCAAATTGAAACACATCTAAACAGAGCTAGGGCTGGGCATGGTTGCAGCAGATGCTTGTAATCTCAGCACTCCAGGGACAAAGGCAAGTTCAAGGACAGCCTGGTCTGCATAACAAGTTACAGATCAGCCAAGAATATAAACAATGTGTTGTACCCTCCACAAACACAAAAAATAAATAAATGTATGAATTAAATAAACAAACACAAAATGTCCCAACATACAACCAACTGCTCTGGCTACTGTGATTTTATTTTTTATGATTGTATTTAAGATTTCTTTCTATAACCTGGACAAGTACTTGCAAGATATTAGGACATCTATCATTTTCTCACACTCATGGCCTCACCAATTTACTTCATTAGTATATTGTTCAAACAGCAGAAGTCTTAAATTTTGATTGAGTCTGAGATACTATTTTTCTCTTATGCATTTTACTTATGTTATACCCAGAAATACCATTCACATGACAGTAAGGTACCAAGAGATTTTATAATTTTAGTATTTATTTTTCCTTTTTTAAAAAATTAAATTAGAAACAAGCTTCTTTTACATGTCAATCCCAGTTCCCTCTCCCTCCCCTCCCCCCCTGCCCCTCACTGACCTCCTATCCAATCCCCTTTCTGCTCCCCAGGGAGGGTGAGGGCTTCCATGGGGGATCTTCAATGTCTGTCATATCATTTGGAGCCTGTATGTCTAGGCTGAGTGAGTATCCTTCTATGTGGGATGGGCTCCCAAAGTACATTCATGTACTACGGATAAATACTGATCCACTACCAGAGCCCCATAGATTATCCAGATCTCCAAACTGACACCCACATTCAGGGGGTCTGGAATAGTCCTATGCTGGTTTCCCAGCTATCAGTCTGGGGTCCAATAGCTCCCCCTTGCTCAGGTCAGCTGTTTCTGTGGGTTTCTCCAGCCTGGTCTTGACCCCTTTGCTCATCTCTTTTCCCTCTCTGCAACTGGATTCCAGAGTTCAGCTCAGTGTTTATTTGTGGGTGTCTGCCTCTGCTTCCATCAGCTACTGGATGAAGGCTCTAGGATGGCATATAAGGTAGTCATCAATCTCATTATTGGAGAAGGCCATTTAAGGTAGCCTCTCCACTATTGCTTTGATTGTAATAGGGGTCAACTTTGTAAATCGCTGGACATTTCCCTAGTGCCAGATTTCTCTTGAAACTTATAATGGCTCCCTCTATGATGGTATCTCTTTTCTTTCTCTCCTCTATTCTTCCCCTGACTCGATCTTCCTGCTCCCTCATGTCCTCCTCTCCCCTCCTCTTTCTCAAACTCCCTCTTCCCTCCCCCCATGCTCCCAATTAGCTCAGGAGATACTTATACTTACTAGTATTTTTGCATGAATGGTTAACAACTCTCCAAATAATAGGCAGTTATTTCTAAGATAATATAAATTTTATGTTTCTAGTGTTATGTGACAGACTTTTCTTGGGGAGATACAACACACATGTGACTCATTCCAACTGGGAACTGATGAGAAACCAAAGTGTGGATACAATCTGTGCTGGCTAGCTTTATGTCAAGTTGAAGCAGTCTAGAGTCATTTGAGAGGAGAGAACCTCAATTGAGAAAATGTCTCCTTAAAGTAAGGCTGTAGGCAGCCTGTAGGGCATTTTCAATTAGTGGCTGGAGGAGGACTCAGTCCACTGTGGGTGGTGCCATCCCTGGGCCGTTGGCCCTTGGTTCTATAAGAAAGCTGGTTGAGCAGACAAGGAGAAGCAAGCCAGTAAACAGTACCCTCCATGGCCTCTGCATCATGTCCTGACTCCAGGTTCCAATCTAGCCTTTAGTTATAGTGTTTCATAACAGCAAAAGTAACACTAACTAAGAAACCACCGAAGTCCAATTTGGTAAACAAGTGAATTTTATTGGAGTTACTTATAGGATTAGGGGTAAGCGGTTACTTACATGAGCAGAAATGACTAAATGACAGTTGTATCACTAATGCCTATCCCAGAATGGGTAAAAGCTCACAAAAACTGGAAACCTAGAATATACAGCTGCCTGCTTTTATGTAACAGGCTTTCTTTTGGGCCACCAACCAGTTCCCAAATCATGACATAGAGACTTATCATTTAGTTATGAATGTTTGGCCTTATCTTATGCTTGTTTCTAGCGAGCTCTTATAACTTAATTTAACTTGTTTCTCTTTTTCTACATTTTGCCTCAGGGATTTTTACCCTTATTTCATTCTGTATGTCCTACTCTCTGGCTGACTGTTGGCTGCCTGACTGGCCCCAGGCATCTCCCTCTTTTTCTCCCTTGTCCCCTTGTTCTCCCCAGGCTAGAATTTCTCCTCCTGCTTATTCTCTCTGTCAGCCAGCCCTGTCTATACCTCTACTGCCTACCTATTGGCATTCAGCTTTTTATTAGACCAATGAGGCGCCTTAGGCAGGCAAAGTGAAACACCAACACATCGTTACATAATTAAATCAATGTAACATAAACACATGTAACACATCTTTGCCTAGTTAAAGTCATATTCCACGACATCTGCCCAAAGCTCAGTAGATTGAAATGTATCGTTTCCAGGTAGCATAGTTGGCTTGAGGGTTTTCCAGGGATTTAGCTCATCTTTGTTTCTTCTGGGCAGTTCTGCTGGTCTCTGCTTCTTTCAGGAGACTGGGCTTGCCTGACAGTAACTCTCAGCAGTCTTTACCACTTATTTACTCTTGGGGAAGGAGAGGAACTAGTGAATGTAGTCATTTTCAGGAACTTCCTGAAGCTATCTTGAGTTGTTTTCTTCCTGTCTTAAGAGCTTCCCTACAGGATGGAGTGTTTAGCTTCCCCTTAGAACTTTAACTTCCCCTTTAATTTCGCCTGTTGTTTGTTTTACCTTCTTGTAAACATCCTATCATAAACTATCTTATTGTTTTGCCTTTCTTCTATAGCTACATCTCAACAAGTTTCCCTCCAAAATAGAAGGTTTTAACCTTTGAGGAAACTGCCACACATCTAGTCATCATTTTAACCAAATTTCCTAAAGTCGTGAGCTGAATTTTTTTTCTGACGTGACCAAATCTTTTTGCACTACAGATGCATACTGTTAGTGAGTTATGAATATAAATTTAACATGGGGATTTTTACTATACAACATTAAAAGTATTTTTAAGTTTGGCAACAAAGAAGGCCAAAATGAAGTGGAAGTAGTGAAGTCATTGAATTATGGAAAAATAAAATGTTATTTTAGGTTACTTAAATATCCCTAATTAACATTAGCAGTTCTCTGTTCCTCAGGGATGCTCAATACATGCAGAAGGGACTACACTTTTGCAAACACACTCAGAACATGTGATTCTGATTTTCAAAGTTTGTTTTCTTCATCGAGTATTTTTTTTTCAATTTTTACTTTGTTATTATATTGTGTTAACTCTCTTCATCGCCCACAGTATTTCATTCTTCTGATAAATAGTGTGACTAAACAAAACAAAAAGGACAAGGCATTTCCTTACCATTGTATGAGATGACATTTTTTCAACAGGTGAACCTTGCTATGACATGCCTGGAGAAAGGTAAGAAAGTGGTCAGACAAGGTAAGAAGTGAAGACAAGAAATTAGTGATCAGGGGTTCGGTACACTCTTAAGAAACGGCACTTTCTCCAAGACCCCTTTGTCCTTCTCAGTGTATAGTGTTTAATTCCAACAACCTCTGTCTCCAGAAGATATCTAAATTAATATTGGAAGAATTAAAAAAAATAATGCTTTACAGTAAATCAAAAGTTTCCACAAAATGCAGAAAGGTGCTGATATTTTCTTGGACATAGGGTATGCTTGTTCACTATGACACTAAACCTACATGCTATGGTGAATGCCTTTTTCCATCAATAAGAACACTTACTTCAATGAGGTGGAAAATCCCATTACCATTCCCTTTCTACCATAGCAGATGTAATGCTTTCCCCAGTGTTACAGGTTAGGCTGGAGAAAGGTAGTTGTAAATGTCCTTCATAGTGTGATCTGTGGCCATTTGTCATGTCTTTTTAAGAAAACTCAATATTGGTCTTTTGAAGGATATATAAGCCTAGGCTCAATTTGAATTCATGCAAATTTTAAGTAAAATTTAATTATCCAATTTCCAGGTGTAGAGTTGATTTTCAAAAAACCAGAAGTCATAAAACAAATTACAATATCGTTTTTTTCTCTTTTCTTGGAAAATGACTGCTTATCCTAAGTGTCTCTTTTATATTAATATGTTAAACTAAATATTATGACAAATAGTACAACTACTTAAAAAGTGGCAGTTAGTTTCCTCATACTTTTAAAATATAGGGATTTTTTGATAGATCCCCCACCATGAACAATCAGCAAATAGTAGTTCTTATATGTGTTAATAGTGCAAAGAAATAAATACCTACCCTCATCGCCAGAGGTGATATAAACTCCTAGTTCATGTTGGAAAGGCATCTTGATAACAGGATCAAAAAGTGTAATATGTATGACCCTTTGAATTAGAAATTGGACTTTAATGGAGTTTCTTTAATGGTATATATAATCAAATAAAAACCATCAAAGTTATTGATCACATGTAACATGGCTGTAATGGAGGAAAATGTAGACAAAATAAATACAAATTGACGGGGTGGAGGGGGGCTAACTAATAGAATGGTAGGCTAACCATACAATAGATTACCACCTAGACATTTTTGAAATACCACATTTGTAATTAGTGAATACTGGCAAAAAAAAAAAAAATGTTACCTCTCACTCGTAAAACTTTTGGTTTGTCTTCTTTAATCTTTTCTGTATTTTCCAAATTCACTTCAATGTTTTTAACCATTTTAAAAACTTCATCTGCCAGTAGTCTGAAAGAAAGTTTGAAAAGGCAAAGCTGAAGAGATATCTCAGCAACTAAGAGAGTTTACTGCTCTTGCAGAGAACCCAAATTAAGTTCCCAGATCCCACATGACTCATGACTACCTGGAACTAACTCTCGCTCTGATTCTCCCAACACACTCTTCTGCCCAGAGGGAATGGCACATACATGCACAAGCCCACAGATGGACCCATAATTAAAATACAAATATTTAAATAAAAATACAGCATCAGACTTACTTTACTAGATGGAAGTATTTGAAAAGGTGACTATTAAAACAAAAGAGGAAAAGAAACAACTCAACACCTAAATTCAGTACAAATGACATATGTTCCTATCTTTAGTACCAACTACTGTGTAGCTTTCAAATGTTTTCACCCTTATTTGCCCTTCACATATGGAAAAACAAACAAAACATCACAAACAAACCATCCAAGCTCTCTTTTCTTCCTAAAGGAAATTTCCCCCTGTAAGGCCACACTACCTGTTTCCTCATTAGTTCTTTTGATGTCTATTTATCTCTGCCTGTGTCTAATCTACTTCTCCATTGCGGTATTTCTGCTCCTGGCATGTGGAAAGCATGTGTAACACTTTGTTCTTCGGGATCTTCTTAACCCTGGAGTTAACATGAAAGGGTTACCATATACACTGAGCACATCACCATTCTATTGTATGGTTGAGGGGAAGGTTTTTATTGTAGATATGAAGGAGAGAACAGCCAGAGTCATCTGGTAGAGTCCAAAGAAGAGAGAAAAAGTAGTCGACTAAACATGGCCAGAAGACTGGATCTAACCAGAAAGGAAGCAGGGGCAGAGTAGAGAGAGACAGAGGAGAGAAGCAGGTGGGTGGGAGTGGGGGTGGGGTTTGTTTGGAAAGGTGGGAGGAAGACCAAAAGAGGATCAAGAGTACACATAGTTAAAATAGCAGGGTTTAAAGAGAATGAGAAGCTGGGGAGAGGGAAGCTCCAGAGTACAGGAAGTTGGGGGGGGGGGAGAGCCAGTATGGACTCTAAAATGTACAACAGGTACTTGTGATGCTGAGTGAGCCCTTAGGCCAGCATGTACTTTGGCAACTCAGAAAACCATTTGCACCACTGCCAGTGGTATGGGAAATGGTTCCTTCAGTAGAGGAGAAACAGCTTCACCAGTTTCTGAGGAATGCTGGCTTTTGTCTAACCCCCAGAAGGTGGGGAAATGGAGTTTCCTTTGGATCTGACAGTTACGGAAAGAGAATGTTACTAATATTACAAAATCATTGACCTGAAAGCTTCAATGCAACAATGTTCATACAATGTAATGTAACCAAAAGCTGCACAATCAGATACAATTTATTCTTAGCCTGCAACATCTCCAGCAGCCTAGGTACCAGTACAGAGCTAATATAGTCTTGTTTTGGAGAACATTCTTCCATGTTTCTTTCTTTTTTCCCCGGACACGTTTTCTCTGTGTAGCTCTGGCTGTTTGGAATTAGATCTGTAGACCAGGCTGCCCTGGAACTCACAGAGATCCACTTGCCTCTGCTCCCGAGTGCTGGGATTAGCACTACACCAGGCCTAAAGGAGTTAGGAGACAGGAAGCTGATCAGTTAACTCTGCATGTCCTAGTGGACTGACTCTCCAAACTCATGTGAGAGAGACCACCTGAGCAGACTTTTCTGAGTTCTGGGATGACCTACAATCAATGTAGGTTTTCCAGTAACCCCATGGTACGGTGACTACAAAAGTTCTACAGGAAGACGATGCGGACTTTTAATGTTTCCAAGTTGGTTGTTCCACATCTCCTATTGGGGTTTTTCTATTACCTTTATTTTCCCCATTTAGGTGTCTATGGTGCAGCAGCCTCAGGCCTGGCATTAACCACAGTTAGCTAGAGCATTAAATCCGGATTTGGTACCTTGCCCTCTCCTTGACCCCAAAGAAAGCATGCAAATTTGGACTCTGCCTTTAAGTGTAAAACCCTTTGCAAGTCAAGTCTTCGATGGATATCCAGTTGATGAAAATCCACAAAGGTGCGACGGGAACTCAGATGGTGGCGTCGCATCATGACACACAGCGCAAAGTTGGGAGACGTGCCAAAGCTGCATCTCACAATGAAGCTCAAACGAAGCCTACTCAGAGGCGCAAGCGCACCT